CGCCATCCCTGCATGGGCCGGCAGAGGAGGGCCTCGGCTTCACTATTTTCTTGGGGGTGGCAATTGCCCCATTGCCCCCCTCTCTGGATCCGCCAATGCTCTGTACGTGCAGCATTTCATAGTGCAACACTGCTAAAACAGACTAACTGAAGTGGTCATGGTTCTCGGAGTAACCCTTTCATTAGACAATAACACAAAACATTGCAAAGGGTTTGTGAATGAGCAGAACTAACACCACACAAAGCCCACATGATTTGATGTCTCCAAATATAGAGAGAGTCACGCTTTATCAATTAATGCAAATATATTACAAATACAAAGATAAATATAAGCTCTGCCTAAAATGTCTGGTTTAACCATACTTAAAGAATCATCCAAGCTCACCAATGTCAATCTGAAACACAACTGGTTAATGACACAAATGTCACATGTTACCATAATCACTTCGCTCAAACAGACAGGACCATTCCTAGATGGGTACATTTTATTTGTAATCTCCATCTCGTGATTGTTTGATTTACAACAACGATAAGTTAAGACTAGTTTTAAGACTATAATGATTTATAAGTTCGGTGCGGGTGGCAAGTTTTAAAGAATCTGTTGCTAAAATTTTACAACCTTAAGGGTTTAAGTGTGAAATTAAGGGAAATCAAATCAAATGAAAAAAATAAATTAAAACATTTTAGGCCACGTTTGCCACATTAAAACATGGATAATTTGGATAATTTTTCAAAATTGACAAAAAAATTTTTTAAAAATTCCACTTTAGTAAATGAGCCTGCTAGCATCAGTCTCTTATCTAAAACTGAGAGACAGCAGTACTTTGTGGGAGTGAGTTACGACCATCATTACTGGAAACAAAGCAACGCTTACAGACAATCAGGATTGCAATTTAACATCTTCTATTGACAGATATAAAGAAAAAAAAATCCTAAAATTTTTTCTATATACAATACTCAACCATATGTACAGCGCTGTGGTATATGTTGGCGCTTTATAAATTCCAGTAATAAATAAATGTGCTATTTGGCCAGCATCAACATTCTTCTAAGTAGTCTTAACTTCACTAAACAACCTTGAGATCTTTTCATCTGCACATTTATAGCCTGACATTTAATATTCTCAAACTTATACAAGCATATATTACAGAGTACCTTTATACATATACAGTATAGCTCATAAATATTTACTGCTGTTAACCAAACAGCTTCATTAACAACCCCAATGCATTGAGTAGTAACACTGTCAGTAAACAAATCTGTACATTAGGATAAAATTATTCTAATGAGTCTGGCAGTTCAATGTCAAAACATGGTGAGATATGCAAGATCACATATTATACTGGAGTTCTGAAGGTCTAGGAAATAGGCAGATAGCTCACACACAAAAAACCACACACACATTACAGAAAAAAAAATCACAGATAAATTATAACAAACTTAATTTACTATGATTGAGCCAATGGTCCCAAAAGCATTCCAGACAAACAGAGCCAGGGATCTTTGTAATTGACAGTTATTGGCAAGTTATTAAATACAATATATCACTTATAATACACAATGAAGTACACTAGCTGGTGTGATCAGTGTGTCTGCAGTACTATAGATGTATCTGCATTGGCTGAATCCCATTCAGAATGTGGGGAGAGGGAGCTGGGGGCTTGAATTGCTCTGATGACAAAGTCTTACATTTCGACTGCTGTGTCCAGTCAGTATCTCAGTTTTCAGAAACCTTTAGTTACATTACTAGCCCCAAATTTCTGATAACTCTATTACTTTGATTATAGGAGGCAGCCCAGAGAGATCAGTATTTTAGCTCCATGATTTAATAAATGCAATCTGTCAGAATAATCTCCATTTCGACCCCCCCTCCCCCAAGCTTGGTCTGCAGACTAACTGTGAGTGATAGAGCATGGCTAAGAAAGGGTTAACAGTGATTTTTATTGAAGAAATTCGATCCTTTATTTTGTGTCTAGACATTATTGTTCTGACTTAAAATTCTTGCAAACTACACATCCTCTATAAATTGAGGTTACACTAAGCAATGGGAGACAAGGTCATATGGACTGAGATCCACTATAACTGAACCAGGTAAGTCTGGGATCTCTCCATAACCCATGGTGCTGAATACAAAGTATCCCTGACATTAAACAAGGTAAGTGTGAGAGCTGTCCTGACCCCATTCTGTCGGATACAGTGTGATTGATCCAGGTAAGTGTGTGAGCTGTTGGATACAGTGTGATTGATCCAGGTAAGTGCGTGAGCTGTTGGAAAAAGTGTGATTGATCCAGGTAAGTGTGAGAGCTGTTGGATACAGTGTGATTGATCCAGGTAAGTGTGTGAGCTATTAGATACATAGTGATTGATCCAGGTAAGTGTGTGAGCTATTGGATACAGTGTGATTGATCCATGTAAGTGTGTGAGCTGTTGGATACAGTGTGATTGATCCAGGTAAGTGTGTGAGCTGTCGGATACAGTGTGATTGATCAAGGTAAGTGTGTGAGCTATTAGATACAGTGTGATTGATCCAGGTAAGTGTGTGAGCTGTTGGATACAGTGTGATTGATCCAGGTAAGTGTGTGAGCTGTTGGATACAGTGTGATTGATCCAGGTAAGTGTGTGAGCTATTAGATACAGTGTGATTGATCCAGGTAAGTGTGTGAGCTATTGGATACAGTGTGATTGATCCAGGTAAGTGTGTGAGCTGTCGGATACAGTGTGATTGATCCAGGTAAGTGTGTGAGCTATTAGATACAGTGTGATTGATCCAGGTAAGTGTGTGAGCTGTTGGATACAGTGTGATTGATCCAGGTAAGTGTGTGAGCTATTAGATACAGTGTGATTGATCCAGGTAAGTGTGTGAGCTGACCCCATGCTATTAGATACATAGTGACTGACCCAGGTAAGTGGAAGAGCTGACCCCATGCTATTAGATACATAGTGACTGACCCAGGTAAGTGGAAGAGCTGACCCAATGGTATTAGATACATAGTGACTGATCAGGTAAGTGTGTGAGCTGACCCCATGTTATTAGATACATAGTGACTGATCAGGTAAGTGTGTGAGCTGACCCCATGTTATTAGATACATAGTGACTGATCAGGTAAGTGTGTGAGCTGACCCCATGCTATTAGATACATAGTGACTGATCCAGGTAAGTGTGTGAGCTGACCCCATGTTATTAGATACACAGTGACTGATCAGGTAAGTGTGTGAGCTGACCCCATGTTATTAGATACATAGTGACTGATCAGGTAAGTGTGTGAGCTGACCCCATGTTATTAGATACATAGTGATTGATCAGGTAAGTGTGTGAGCTGACCCCATGCTATTAGATACATAGTGACATATCAGGTAAGTGTGTGAGCTGACCCCATGCTATTAGATACATTGTGACTGATCAGGTAAGTGTGTGAGCTGACCCCATGCTATTAGATACATAGTGACTGATCCAGGTAAGTGTGTGAGCTGACCCCATGCTATTAGATACATAGTGACTGATCAGGTAAGTGTCGCTGTCCTGACCCCATGCTATTAGATACATAGTGACTGATCAGGTAAGTGTCGCTGTCCTGACCCCATGTTATTAGATACATAGTGACTGATCAGGTAAGTGTGTGAGCTGACCCCATGTTATTAGATACATAGTGACTGATCAGGTAAGTGTCGCTGTCCTGACCCCATGCTATTAGATACATAGTGACTGATCAGGTAAGTGTCGCTGTCCTGACTCTCTGGTGCTGAACACACTGTGTCCTATAGATACATAGAGAGCAGAGGCTGTTTCAGCACTAAGGACAGCCCCAGCTCCCTCCTCACACTGCGGCCATGCTCACAGGGAGACCCCCCTCTCCCCATCCACTTACCTGTCGTCATTCTGGAATGTCTGATCCCCCAGCAGTAAGTCCCTGAAGCGGTACCTGGGGGGCAGTGGGGGCACCTCCGTCTCCAGCTCGTTCATTTTCAGGGAGCTGATGTCTAGGATGACCCCAGTCTTGTCAGGTGCCAGCCTGCGGGGAGGAAGCAGAGGGTTACTGCAAGTTTCTCGGTGTTTACAGAAATGCTCACTCAGACAAAGCCACCTCCCTCTCCTCCCAAACAACCCCCCAACCTCGGGCTCCTTACATCAGGGATAGCGGGAGCCCAAAGCTGGCATGGCAGGAGCCCCCTCAGTATGCAGCCACTTCCAATGCAGCATCAGTGACAATGTATCCAGCCCAGGCTCCTGGTGACAATGTATCAGTGACAATGTATCCAGCCCAGGCTCCTGGTGACAATGTATCAGTGACAATGTATCCAGCCCAGGCTCCTGGTGACAATGTATCAGTGACAATGTAGCCAGCCCAGGCTCCTGGTGACAATGTATCAGTGACAATGTATCCAGCCCAGGCTCCTGGTGACAATGTATCAGTGACAATGTACCCAGCCCAGGCTCCTGGTGACATTGTATCAGTGAGAGTGTAACCAGCCCAGGCTCCTGGTGACAATGTATCAGTGAGAGTGTAACCAGCCCAGGCTCCTGGTGACAATGAATCAGTGACAATGTACCCAGCCCAGGCTCCTGGTGACAATGTATCAGTGACAATGTACCCAGCCCAGGCTCCTGGTGACAATGTATCAGTGAGAGTCTACCCAGCCCAGGCTCCTGGTGACAATGTATCAGTGACAATGTACTCCTGGTGACAATGTATCCAGCCCAGGCTCCTGGTGACAATGTATCAGTGAGAGTGTCCAGCCCAGGCTCCTGGTGACAATGTATCAGTGAGAGTGTACCCAGCCCAGGCTCCTGGTGACAATGTATCCCAGCCCAGGCTCCTGGTGACAATGTATCAGTGAGAGTGTACCCAGCCCAGGCTCCTGGTGACAATGTATCAGTAGAGTGCCAGCCCAGGCTCCTGGTGACAATGTATCAGTGACAATGTACCAGCCCCGGCTCCTGGTGACAATGTATCAGTGAGAGTGTACCCAGCCCAGGCTCCTGGTGACAATGTATCAGTGACAATGTACCCAGCCCAGGCTCCTGGTGACAATGTATCAGTGAGAGTCTATCCAGCCCAGGCTCCTGGTGACAATGTATCAGTAAGAGTGTATCCAGCCCAGGCTCCTGGTGACAATGTATCAGTGAGAGTGTATCCAGCCCAGGCTCCTGGTGACAATGTATCAGTGAGAGTGTACCCAGCGCAGGCTCCTGGTGACAATGTATCAGTGAGAGTGTACCCAGCCCAGGCTCCTGGTGACAATGTATCAGTGAGAGTGTACCCAGCCCAGGCTCCTGGTGACAATGTATCAGTGACAATGTACTCAGCCCCGGCTCCTGGTGACAATGTATCAGTGAGAGTGTACCCAGCCCAGGCTCCTGGTGACAATGTATCAGTGACAATGTACCCAGCCCAGGCTCCTGGTGACAATGTATCAGTGAGAGTCTATCCAGCCCAGGCTCCTGGTGACAATGTATCAGTAAGAGTGTATCCAGCCCAGGCTCCTGGTGACAATGTATCAGTGAGAGTGTATCCAGCCCAGGCTCCTGGTGACAATGTATCAGTGAGAGTGTACCCAGCCCAGGCTCCTGGTGACAATGTATCAGTGACAGTGTACCCAGCCCAGGCTCCTGGTGACAATGTATCAGTGACAATGTACCCAGCCCAGGCTCCTGGTGACAATGTATCCAGCCCAGAGTGTGACTATCCAGCCCAGGCTCCTGGTGACAATGTATCAGTGACAATGTACCCAGCCCAGGCTCCTGGTGACAATGTATCAGTGACAATGTATCCAGCCCAGGCTCCTGGTGACAATGTATCAGTGAGAGTGTACCCAGCCCAGGCTCCTGGTGACAATGTATCAGTGAGAGTGTATCCAGCCCAGGCTCCTGGTGACAATTTATCAGTGAGAGTGTACCCAGCCCAGGCTCCTGGTGACAATGTATCAGTGACAATGTACCCAGCCCAGGCTCCTGGTGACAATGTATCAGTGACAATGTACCCAGCCCAGGCTCCTGGTGACAATGTATCAGTGACAATGTACCCAGCCCAGGCTCCTGGTGACAATGTATCCAGCCCAGGCTCCTGGTGACAATGTATCAGTGAGAGTGTACCCAGCCCAGGCTCCTGGTGACAATGTATCAGTGAGAGTGTACTCAGCCCAGGCTCCTGGTGACAATGTATCAGTGAGAGTGTATCCAGCCCAGGCTCCTGGTGACAATGTATCAGTGAGAGTGTACCCAGCCCAGGCTCCTGGTGACAATGTATCAGTGAGAGTGTACCTAGCCCAGGCTCCTGGTGACAATGTATCAGTGAGAGTGTACCCAGCCCAGGCTCCTGGTGACAATGTATCAGGGATGACACTGAAAGAATGGCTAGATACTCCTTGATGCAGACTGAGATTCATGGCACAGGTAGTCCATAGATCAAGAGTGCTATTATTTCAGTAAATTATTGCTAATCACACAGTCTCTTGTTAATATATATAATAATAATAATAATAATAATAATAATAATAATTATTATTATTAGTTTGTTTTTTGGCTTCTGACGAATCTCATCTATCTCTAGAGAAAAGTGACCCCTTTTCAAATAATATTTTGTGAAGAATTTTTAGAAAACAAACCTACCCAGTCATTAAACTGCCATATATGCTAATATCATTATATGTGTTACAAAACTGCATCACGGTACACGATCACCCCTGTGTACATTTCGTTAGAAATAAATTAATATTGAAACTGGCACGTTGTGACTTTAGCATCTGTTAGTAAATCTAATTTGTTCTGGTTTCACGTAGTGTCATTTTTCTTGTGTTTATTAAACAATGAGTATGTTTGCTTTCTTCAATTTCTGGTAAGCTTCAAAGTCAGACGACAGTGATAGCTTTATAAATATATTTATTGATCTTAATACATAAAATAAAAACCCTTGATCTATTGGGAGAATTCAATGCAGAATTCTGACTGAGGATATATCCAGTGACAATCCATAGATCCCATTGTACAGCGCTACGGAATCTGATGGCGCAATATAAATAATAAAATAATAATAATACTTGGTCACATAGAAAATCATTCTGTATACATTTCTTTGGATAAAATATTAGCAAAATCAGGTTAATTCCTAATGTAATGTGTTAAAGTATATTTTTAAACCATTCTTGATATTGGAGAGTGATAATCAGAAAGTAACACAACTTTTAAAAGATAAAAGCAAAATATTCTGAACACGCTTTTTAATACACCTCTATTTCTCGCTCTTTTTATTTATTTATTTGAATAAGCCTCCGTTTTTTTAATTGTACATGAGAAGATGTAGCAACTACTTTTCCCTCATGGGAGGGTGATTTTAGGCAAATTTTGGCAATGGGTGGAACATAAGGAATGTTTCATTTCAGTTGCGAAGCTACAAACCATCAGTCAATAGAATCCCACAAAATGGCACACTGCTGGCATCATGGACAGAGGAGAACAAAATGGCTGCTCCCAGGTATTTAAATAAAGGTAAGTGGCAACGGGGGGAATATTATCATTAATATACAAGAGGTACAAGGGAAGAAAACTGATAGAAAAACAGATATAATAGAACCACATAAGAAAAACAATTGCATTAAACACTTTTTTTTTTTTAATTTGTCACCTCAGGCGGGTTTCCTTTGCAGTCTCCACTAGCAAACATTCTCTTATATACATATACATCACAACATACATTTAAAATGTACATCCCGGCTGTCATAAGCCTCCATAGCTGCATTCCCTCCCCCCCACTATAATTCACCAAGTTTTCTTTTCACAGGATGCTGACCGTTTTTGCAGAAATGCAACAGTTCTCAAAGGGTTTTAAAAGTGCCAAAGACACCATTGTAAAGTTGAGAATGGCTACGACAAAATGGAGGACAGGCCTGCAAGGATTGGCTGGTCTCAACTCCAACCAGTTGGTCACAAGTGTTAAAAAACAAAAAATCCTTGCAATTGGGAATTGAGTAGAAATAACAGGGAATGGCCAAGTGTGCACCAGAATAACTGATTTGAAATAATTCTAGTGAAATCAAAGGTCTTTGCGTGAGCAGATTTTAAGCACTGTATGGAATGTTTGCAGAGCAGGCATGAATGTACTAGTTAACAAACTGTCACAAGGTCATAACCCAACTTACAGGAATGGCAAGTCCTACAACCAGAGGTTCTAGATAGACCTATTACTGGGACTTAATGTGAAAAAAGATAAAGACGAAGTCAGTAATAGCCAATGTTAGTAATATAGAAATACAGATAAACGGAATTACACGCCAGATCAGGATATTAGAAATAAATAAAGTCAGAAACAAGCCGAGGTCAATATCAAAATATATCAAGAGAGACTTACTATAAGCACTAATGTGTTTCAAGGCAGAAACCATGATAGGGCAATGAACAAGGACCAAAATTAACTTTATACAGGCTAACAAACTTTCTGATTGGTCCACGTCATCTCTGCCACTCCAAATTGATAGGATATGGGGTCGCCAAGATGACATGGTCACGTTAAGGGTGGGCGTGATGTCACGTGATTTGGATTATCAAAGGACACGGCAAAACAGTGGGCAGAATTCGAAAGAACAAAGGGAAAAAGCGTCCTTAACACAATCGGCCCGCGCGAAGCAGGAGGAGGAGCAGTTCGCCGGCCAATACCATTTGTATTCCCAGTACAGGTTGCCCAGCTGCGTAATGCATTCGTTCTGCACGAACTAGGAAGGGGAGTACGTGGCCGAGTAAAAGAATAACATAAAACTTAATAAGTACTATTAGATACTCTAAAACTTAAACACTAAAAGATACAGTCATACATTTTGAACGTTTTCCCTTAAAGGGACACTATAGTCACCTGAACAACTTTGGCTTAATGAAGCAGTTTTGGTGTATAGAACATGCCCCTGCAGCCTCACTGCTCAATCCTCTGCCATTTAGGAGTTAAATCCCTTTGTTTATGAACCCTAGTCACACCTCCCTGCATGTGACTTGCACAGCCTTCCATAAACACTTCCTGTAAAGAGAGCCCTATTTAGGCTTTCTTTATTGCAAGTTCTGTTTAATTAAGATTTTCTTATCCCCTGCTATGTTAATAGCTTGCTAGACCCTGCAAGAGCCTCCTGTATGTGATTAAAGTTCAATTTAGAGATTGAGATACAATTATTTAAGGTAAATTACATCTGTTTGAAAGTGAAACCAGTTTTTTTTTTCATGCAGGCTCTGTCAATCATAGCCAGGGGAGGTGTGGCTAGGGCTGCATAAACAGAAACAAAGTGATTTAACTCCTAAATGACAGTGAATTGAGCAGTGAAATTGCAGGGGAATGATCTATACACTAAAACTGCTTTATTTAGCTAAAATAATTTAGCTGACTATAGTGTTCCTTTAACCCCTTAAGGACCAAACGTCGGGAATAAAAGGGAATCATGACATGTCACACGTCATGTGTCCTTAAGGGGTTAAATAATTTTTTTTTCATAATTAGTTATATACAAGGACTAATAATGCAAAACAAATGTCCAGTGCCCCTATGTTTTTATTTCTGAACACTTACCGCTAAGCATTGTTTTGTGAGCTCTCCAGCACTGCATGGGTTAAGAAGATGATTTTTTTTTTCACTATAACATTACTGGACGGCTCACAAACAATGGTGGTTTTAAGTAGCTTTGTAAGATTTGAAATGTGCATTTTATGTATAAATATTATATATAATTTGACTTTTTAAAGCAGCACCACTGTTTAGAAATATATGTTCTGTGACCCCCAAAAATCCATTATTTTCTTACCGTGTTTAAAGACATTTCCAAATCCTTAGAAATAACCATTAATAAAAATGTGAGGTTTCATTAAACATTCCGAACAAGGCACTGGAAAAGGTATGACCTTTCATCCTAAATTCTGCAACTTGTTTATTCTCTTGAGCAAATTTATTAAGGCGGATTGTTTGTTAAATAATCTACTACCCGTTAATACAAAAGTAAATACTCACAAGACTAACCTTATAAATCATTAAACCATATCTATTTTGAAAGATTTGCTATAATAATAATAATAATTCTTCTTATTATTATTATAATATTCGAGTGGTGTTTCCATGCTCATTAAACTTTTAAGGTTTATGCATTAAAGTCCAAATTGTAGCAAAATAAATTCCGAATGAAATGAAGACACATAAAGCTGATATGGAAAATGTCTACACCTGTAGAAATGTAGCCGTAGTTATTTTTCTCAGAATTTTGTCACTTGGTTTCAGTTCACTGTGATTCAGAGTATACTAATTAAAACTCTTTGTTCTTTCTCCCACATCTGTAAATATATTTTAATTAATTATTAATAAAAATTAACTACTCATTTATAATTTAAAAGAAAATGATTATTTTATAAACGGATTGATTTATACATATTTCATATTGTATTTCATAAATAATTCGCAATTCTGTATATTAAATGAACAGTCCAAGTACCATACACACTACTGGTCACATTAGTGGTTATGGTGCGAGAAGTGTCCTAGCGCTCCCCACCACTATTGTAAATAGTCATGATGATTTGGGATGGTTTGGTGTCTTGCCTGGGGTCTGCCGGATACCACTTCTCAGCTTCATTACTAACACCGGAGAACCAGATGTTCCTAATGCAGAACGTAGCTCACTGGCTGAGAGCAATCAGCTGACGCTCATAGCGATGAGCTAGCCCTGCACTGTAGGCAGAGATTGGCGCCCCGGTGGACCCCCAGGTGTATTATATGTGGTCTGCTTATCTTGTAGATACATATTGCAAATCTGTGTACTGCTTGGTGTGGAAAATATTCTGCTCCATACGAAAAAAATCTGGCTCCATATGACAAGCATCTAAAGAAGACAAATCCCAGGCCGTCACTTTAATTACAGTATATTCTTTGGTCCTACATCTGGGATGACGGATGTGGCTGTCAAATAGCTCGAGAATCATAGATGATACAGTCTATCTCATACAAGTAAACAGAACAGCTTATTCCCATGAGAATCTCTGGATTATTTCCCAGTTTGACGATCGGGATCTACATTTGCAAGTTATCTGTTGGCCCAGCAGAACTCGCTCTTTG